GAATGTCACCCAAGGGGTGAGAAGTCAGAGAACCTTGCTTCTTGAAGAGAGAAGCAATTCTCTCTAGAGAGAATTCGATCACAGGGCTGGGCAGAGAAAGGAAAGGCGTGGTTGAGCGTGGGTACCATCTTCAAATACCCATCATGGGCCTGAGCCAGCCTAGAGAGGCCGAGCCATGTCCACATGCCAGCTCCGCCCGTACTGAGCTGGGGGACCTCAGCAGGGTACTTAATTCCCCTGAGCCTCAGTTTCTCCATTTGCAAGATAGGAATATGGAGTTGTGAAAGTTAAATGGGACGGCGGAGCTGGACACACGGCATTGCTCCATAAAGCTTAATCTCCTTGCTTCTCTAAGATGTTGAAGGCCTGTGTTGAGAGGAAGAGCGTGACTGTGAGCGGGGGGCGGGGGGGGCGGCGGGGTAGCCAGCACGCACTCGTCAGCACATTTGCGGAGGGCAGAGTCCCAGGGAAATGTCCACCAGGATTCAAGGCCCCCAGAAGCTCTGCAGGAGGGACACAAGGTACAAGCAGCAAGGATTGATGGCTGCAAGTGAGGAGGGGGGACCTGGGGAGTCAGGGTTCACTGAAGACAACCCTCTCCTGCTTCAGACCCCCCTCAAGGGCCCATCACTCTCCCCACCTGCTCTGCCGTCACCCACAGCTAAACCCCATGGCTCCACGGAAACAGTCATCTCCAAGGTCTTGGTTTGGGTCCCCCCAGAAGCAGACCCTGAACAAGGACACGGGTACATAATTGGGAGGCGATCCCAGGGAGTGAGGAGAGGATGGGAACAAGGGGGTTAGAAGGGAGTGGGACAGGGAAGGAAGAAAAGCCAAACAAGTGAATTTAGGAGCAGGTCGCCACTGTGGGCAACTGAGAGCCATCCCGTGGGCCCCCTCTGGGGAACTGAATGGACTGAACTCAGAGGCGGGGAGGCTGGGACACAAAAACCCCAATGGCATCCCCCAGGGGTGAGGGTTGCCCTGGGACATTCGCTCCCCTGCGTCTCCAGGCTGTGCCTGTCTGCAGCAAGCTACGCTGAGGACAGCCCTTAGGCAGAGAAACAGAGACATGCTGGGCGCTCTCACTGTGCTCCGGGAACAGTCCACAGCTGCAGGATGACTCTGGGGAACCCAGAGGGGTTGCGGTAGGGAGTCCACGACTTTGCTAGGGCCACCACTGACCCCACGATGGCAATCAATGGCCTCTTCTCAGTGCGTCCCTTACAGCCCCTCACTGAGCTGCCACCTGTGCTCTCTGCCTGCCTATTCCTCAGGATCCCAGTAATCCCACCCCAGGCCCGTCTTCCTCGTGCTCACCTCTCCCTTCCTGGGTGTGTGTGGGCTTCTGTCTCCTCTTGCCCTTAAGTGCTGAGGTCCCTGGGGTCTGCCCCTGAGCCCTTTCCCTGCCTCACTCTCCTTCAATATGTGTCACAGGTCTAACTACATGAGACCCTACAGGGGAGCATGTTAAATGCAGGTTCCCAGGCCTCACCCTCCAGCCCTACTGAACCAGACTCTCTGAAAATGGAGCCCACGAACGTGCCTTTTTTTTTTTTTTTTTTTTTATGCGGTACGTGGGCCTCTCACTGTTGTGGCTTCTCCCGTCGCGGAGCACAGGCTCCGGACACGCAGGCTCAGCGGCCATGGCTCACGGGCCCAGCTGCTCCGCAGCATGTGGGATCTCCCCGGACCGGGGCACAAACCCGTGTCCCCTGCATCGGCAGGCGGACTCTCAACCACTGCGCCACCAGGGAAGCCCGAACGTGCCTTTTAACAAGCTCCCTAAGTTGAGTTGCCAGATAAAATTCAGGATGTCCAGAGGCGCGTGCCACATCTGAGGCATACTAAAAAATTCCTTGTAGTTTATCTGAAATTCACATTTAATGGGGCATCCTGTATTTTCGTTCGCTAAACCTGCCAACCCTATCCCAAGGTGATTCTGATGCACCATAATGTTCAAGAACTTTTTTTATTGTATTCTCCCTGAGTTACCATATCCATGCCCCCGATTTCAATTACATGACAGTGACTCGGATTTCTTTCTTGCCCAGACCCCTCCCCTGAATTCCATAGATCTGATGGCCCACTGGACATCTCGAATTTGATATGTTCAACATAGAGAGCTCATTGCTCTCCACCTGCCCCCCACACCTACTTCCCAAATCTGCACTTCTTCCTTCTTTCTCTGTCGGTAGCCCCGCCATCCACTTGCCCAAGCCAGTAACAAGAGGGGTTATCTCAACCACTCCTTTCTCACCCCGCTCACCCCCTAGTCAGTCACCAAACTATTGTCTACATCTCTCAAAATCCCTTGCATCCTTGTGGTAGGCTGCCTTCCAAATATATCCACCTCCTAATCCCTGGAACCTGTGAATGTTAACTTATATGGTAAAAGGGCAGTTGCAAATGTGATTAAATTAAGACCTTGAGATGTGAGATTATCCTGGATTATCCAGGTGGGCCCAGGATATCCACTGTCCTTGTAAGAGGGGTGCAGGAGGTTCAGAGTTAGAGAGAAGATGAAGTGATGATGGAAGCAGAGACTGGAGTGATGTGGAGTGATTTGTTACAGCAGCTAAAAGAAACTAATACCGTCTATCATCTTTCTCCTTTCACATTGCCCCTGCCTGACCTTATTCTCTATCCATTGCAATCTCCCCATGAGGGTCTTCTGCTTCCAGCCTTGAATCCTCCATAGCACCAGCAAAGTGGTCCTTCCCCTGATTCACGCCCTTGGATGACCCCCATCACTAAGGAAAAGTCCAGACCCATCATCAGCTCAGCTTTCTGGGTTGGGCCCCTCCCTGTCTCTCTTCATCTCCCTCCACTAAATACCTTCAGACTGCTGGCTTCTGAACTCAATTCCTGGTTTAATAAACCCTTGTTCGCCTTGTTTCTGACAAGAATGTTTTCCCCCACCTTTTTTTCTTGCCTAACTCCTATTCCTACCCCAAAACCCAACTCAGATATAATTTCCTCCAGCAAGCCTTTCCTGGCTCTCTCGCCACCCACAAAAGAGTTAACGAGAGCCCACTCTAACCTCATACAACTTTTATTCCTTGACCAAATTCCCACTTTTGCAGTTTCCCCACTAGTCATTGTCTCTACTAGATTCTGAGTTCCTTGAGGACTGGAAAAACAGTTTCTTGTTTGCTTTTGAATCCCCAGGACCTAGGAAATAGTCCATACATGTTTGTTGAATTAGCACAAGTAAACGTTTCTCTCGGTTTCAATATTCAATGATTTTTATGCTACTGTTTCTTAGGCTTTTCTCCAAATCAGCTGTTCCCTACAAAGGAGCAGAAGGACAATTATTTTTTTTTTCCATTGCTAGTTCCTGTTAATTCACTCAAGATAAATAAAAATTAATAGGCACTCATTTGTCATGTGGACTTAAGAATCCAAAGTCACATTTGTCTTGGCCCAGAGTGTTAATACAGCTCATAATATTTGTAATTTACGAAGAAAAAATTTATGATCCAGTGTCTCCCTCACTTAAATGAATACACACATGCACACAGTCACAACTGCTGGCCTGGGGTCTGCAGGAGCTAGGGAAGGAAAACAGAACAAAACTGTGGACTCCGAGAATCCCTAAAGAAAGCCCCACCCAGACCAGGACACTGTTCTTCATCAACAATGTCCCCAGTCCTCAAACCAAAGCTATTCGAGGAAAAGATGATGAAGCTCACAGAAAACTGTAGTCAAAGGGACACAACTTTCTTTTTAGCTCCATTCCTAGATATTACACCTCGAGGCCCCGCTCCTCTCCAAAGGAGTCTGGTCACTGCCCTATAAAAGCCCCCCACCAGAGTAGAAGGAAAGAAATGAAGGTCTTTTTCTTGGCATTTCCCTCCCACAATCCTCTGCTACTTGCCAGGATTTTCTGGGCTGATAGGAAGCATCTCCCCCGCCCCCCTCCTGCTTGCTGTTCTCCAGAACCTGCTGTTACCCATCCCTGCCCAGGGAGGACAGAAGACGGACAGTCAGCAGGGTACCAAGCAGTCCCACAGGACCCTCCATGTAGAGTGGAATTATGTGTAATATTTGAATGAAGGATTCTGCTTCTAAAAGAACCTCAAAAACTACAGGTTGGAAACTGACACCTCGAGTTGTTTGAGTTTGATTCTAAAGTGAGAAGTATTATTTCAGAAGAAGGAAAGGGTCTGAAGGTTTAGTCCACAGTCAGTGGCCCACAGCCTTCCACGTCCTCTGATGGTTGAAAGGATTTCAGACGATTCTAGAGCAGCAGGGGCAGGAAAGACACAAGTTCTTTAAGAGGAAGTTGCACAGGGGTCAGCATGGTTTGGGAAATGGGGCAGAGGATTTGAAAGCCTGCAGATCTGAGTTCAGACCCCAGCCTTGCCCCGCAGCAGCCGTGCTGGACTGTCTGTCATCACCTGGGCATCCCGCCACCCTCCTCCACAGTCTCCCCCAGGAACGGGGCTCCCAGGTTCCCCTTCCGCACAGGGTCCCAATGAGATGCTCTGCTAATGAAACCCTCATGTGATGTTTGGAAGGCAAAGGAGGGGAGAGGCCATTCTTCTCCAGAGGCACTGGAGGCAAACCCACTGGCAGACGTGAGGTTTGCAGGTGCTTCCCGGCCAGCGCCTGCCCTCACATGCTCACAGCTGTAGGGGTCAGCACGAGCCTCCAGGAGGTTCCACACAGCTTCGGGGCCGGCTCTGGAGAACCATCCATTTTGGAACCTGCCGGGTGACCTTCAGTGTTGGCTTCCTGACCTTCGTTCCTCCACTCTTCCAGCAGCCGCCTCAGCCTCTAATTCCCTGAATGAACAACCTGTGTACTTGGGATGCACAGCGTCAGTATGGCAGCTCTGCTCCGGCCTGGCCACCGTCTCCTCCCCTACCACGCCTCCGTTTCTCTGCCCTTTTACCCTCCCCCCACCCCGCCCCCCAGACAAAGGCAAATGGCCATTTTATTTTGTGGCCGGTTCTTTGTGAGTAATCTTGTCAATGAGACTGACCTGCTCGAGGCTCAGCAAACAGTTAATATTATTACCAATAATAAAATGGAAGAGCTGGAGATGAAAGGAACGAGGCAATGGAAAAGAAGAGGTTGGACGTTTGAGAGGGGACCTAATCCCTGATGGGCCTGGCAGGGGAGGGGAGAGCCAGGGCGCAGAGGAGGGGCTGATGGTGAAGCAGGAAGGGCGCCTCCTCCAGCGAGAGCACAGGCAAGGAGACCAGGGGTTGTGGACACCGCAGGTGTGTAGACAGAGCAGGACTGGTTGTTGAAAGCAGTTCCCACCTAATGGCTTCATTTCCCTGCAAGGCAGGTGGCCCGGCATTGCACTTGGCCTTCTTCACAATCCAGAGATTAATAATGATTGCTTGCCTGTTCCCCACTTCAGGCTGGGAGCTCCAGGAGGGCAGGGGCCCTGTCTGACTTGCTTGGCACATAGTGGGTGTACAAGGTGTGGGTGCTGGGATGGGGGATCGAGGATAAGAGTGGAAGCTAGCAATGGCTGTCGAGGGGACTAGGAGACGGGGCTGACAACTCATGAGAGGATTGCCAGGCATCCCAAAGAACTCAAGGGGGTGTGGATTCCTTGCCTGTGTGTGTGGCAGCAATCCCCGGGGACGGGAGGAGTGGAGAAGGCTGCCGTCCGGTTCTGTCGACAGGTGCAGTGGGAAGCAAGCAGGGACGAGGGACCAGGGTATGGGCACGAGTGCTGATAGGCGGCTCCTGCACTCCAGGCTGATGCGATGGACATTGACCAAGACAGGAGGAAGCTGATGGACAGGAGGAAAAGAGAAGGGTCAGAAGCCTGGAAGACTTGATGAGGGGACCCAGTACAGTGAGGGAGGGGCCTGGAGGTGACTCGTGTGGCAGGGGGTAAGCTGCTGTCAGGCTGAATTCCAGAGAGAGCCACAACAGAGGATGACAAGATCCAGGGGTCCCCAACCTGGCTGATGATCAGCACGTCAAATCTAGTTCCTGTGTCCCATTCCTGGAGTTTCTGGCACCTGGGAATGTATATTTTAAAGCCCCCCAAATGGTGTTGATGAGAGCCAGCTTGGGGAATCCCTAGCACTTAAGGTAGAACGGGGGCTGTGTGCAGTAGCATGAAGTGGTGATGATGGCCAACAGATCTGAAAAGGTTTAGGAGGTCCGTGAGGTATGGGTGATGGATGTGTCACGCACAAGGACGCTGAAGTCCCCTGGCAGGATGGCAGGCCTTTGGGAGGAGGAAGACGGTGATCGGCCGCCAAGGCCCTAGATGAATATAGGGGCGTATTCTCACAGGGATGATGAGAAGTCGCCCTGGCGGCCGGAGCCTCCGTCCCCTCAGAGCTACCAACCAGTTCCACAAGCTCTTATCAGGTTTAGACTCTGCACCCAGCCCTTGGTAAGATGCCATGGGACTGCAAAAGGGAGACCCACGTCTACCATATCAGGAGCTCAGCATCTTGTGGGGAAGGGACGGCGTCTGGGCCCTGCCCAGTCCTTGGACTATTTCCAGCTCCAGTAGGATGCAGGTGCTGGCCAGGGGCCTTGAGGAGCTTTTAGCCCGAGGCCCTCTCTAGGATTTTGTGCAGTTTTAGGGCCCAGTGGCAACTGTAAAACTGAGTTGCACAGAGTGGCCCCCCATATTCTGCCTGAGACCTCACCCCATCTGACGCCGCTCCGTGGCAGACGCACCCAGAGGCAACAGCCTCGTCACAGACAACGGCTGCAACACTCCGCAGCCTCGGGAGCAAACGGCACGGACAGGTGTGGGATGGGACAGGACAGGAAGTGAGTGGTGACCACGGCGTGACATGGCGCTGTGGGGGGATCTCAGAAGTGCTCGAGAAGCCTCTGCAGGCAGTCCTGCCTGAGCGGCTGGACAGAAGAAGAGTGTGGCGCCATACAGCGGCCTCCTATGTACCACCTGGTGAGGCCCTGGGACCCCGGGGTCACACGCACGCTATTCCATTTCTCAGTGGGCTGTCCACATCACAGTCCCCACCTGCTTATCTAGAATGCACATTCTTGGGCTCCACCCAGACCAACTGCATCAGAAGCTCTGGATAGAAGGGCCAAGAAATCTGCATAACTATGCCAACATTTCTGAGGCACTGCCTTACCCTGACTCTTGTTACTTCTGAGTAAAGTATTGTCAGACCCATTATACAGATGAGGAAATAACAGCTCAGAGAGGTTAAGTCTCTGACCCGATATCTTACAGCTATTAAGTGGCTGAGTTGGAATTCAAAGCCAGGTCTTTTGATCCCACGTTCTTTCTATTAACTCTCCGTCTCTCAAAGAAGGGAGAGGTGGTTGGAGCTGGAGAAGTAAGGTCATCAGAGACTCCTGTAGGGCTGAACTTAGGCTGGGCCGTGAAGCTGGGCAGGGTCAGGTGGGTGAAAGGCAAGGGTTATCGAGGATGGACACTTCCTGAGTGCCTGTGACATTGTGCACAGCACCATTACCACGTACACATACCACCGCATCGCATCCTCATACCAGCCCTATGGGCTAAATGTACTATCGTCAACTTGCAGGTGGGACAACTTATGCTCAAACAGTTATATCACCTTAAGGGGATGTGGCCAGTAAGTGGGGGGACATAGATTAGAACTCGGTAACTCCTGGCTTGAGGGTCAAATCATTTTCTACTACAACGGGAACGGCTCTTTTCTTAAACAGCACAAGCCTCTACTCAGCCAAAACCTGACACAGAATCTCAGGATGCAAGAGAGAGAGGAGAGAGGTCCTCTGGCTGGAACCATCGTGCAGAACCCAGAGCCGCCCTAGCTACCCACCTCACTGCCCCTGAGGCTTCTCCATCCACAGCCACAGCCCCCCTTCACACCACCTTCCTGGCAGGAAGAGAAATATACCAGCAGGGAGTCAGGAACAGGCCAAGCAGCCTCCAGCCAAGTCTCTAAAGGAATAGGGCAGCAGGTCTGAGAAGTTTTGAAGGTCTACCGTCGCCCTGCGAGACATCGTCCTTGGCGATGTGGTGCCTGCGGCAGGTTTCTCGCACACCTTCTCCTAACCCCGTCTAAGAGACAGAGACGTGAGGAAGGCAGGGGGTGAGAGCGAGGCCCCCATCATGGGGGGCTGCAAGAAGAAGTGTGTGCGGTAACTTTGGAAAAAGCAAATAAAAAACAAAAACGAAAACTTTCTACCTTTCTGCAGCTGCTTAAACGCACTAAAACTGCCCAGCTCCGCTCTGACCGCCCCCGTCCTTCCTTCCAGACAATAAACACACTTCCTTGCTTTGCAACATCTGAGCACACAGGAGTCTTCCCTCCCCCTAAGGTGCCGCCTCCTGGAGCTGAAGCCAATGGGTACAGTGGGCAGGACCCGCATCGTCATGGCTGCCTAGGGCTGGCCCTCCCTTTCCTGTTCCCATCACAGCAAAGAGATCAACATGAAGGAAGGGAACACGCTTCAAGCTCACTTAATGGCCAGTGTCCTTATTGTCATTGCTGATCTACCCCAGCCTGGCCATCTTGAGAGCCCAGCCTGGAGAGGAAGCCTCCAGGCCCTAAGACGTGGCCAGAGCTGTTCTGCACAGGCTCTCTGGCCATCTTCCTGCCCCAGCTTAAGGGCTGGCAGCGAGGACGGCGGTTATGACACAGAAAGCCCCGGGCACAGTCTCTGCCAGCCCCAGGCTGTAAACACTTTCTCTCTTGCCCTCCCAAGGGAGGACCAAAGGTGAGCTTGGAGGTGACCCTGCAGAGCGGCCTGTGCCCAGGGAGGGCCCTGTGGCTGGCGTGCCCTCCCCTGGGGCCCAGCCTTGGCTACTTGCAGAATTCAACAGCGCACAGGCCAACCCCCGGGTGGCAAAGAGGAGGACGGAGAGCCAGGGACGGGGTGTTATAAATAGGCATGTGTGACTGAGAAGGTCACCGGCCAGAGTGAAACATGCCAGAATTCTGCAAGAGAGAGACAGATGTAAATTATCTGAGCATCTCACAAGCTTTCTCTCTCGGGATGAACTGAGAGTTCCAAGACAGTGCAAGGGTGAGTAGGCAGCCACAGATACCCAGCCAACAGCTGAAAAGCCTCTTCCACTGAAGAGGCACTTAGACATGACATTTATTTCTTAAAGAGGCTGGCTTTTCTGGTCGCTCACGAGAGACTGGCCATCCGAGCTGGAGAGTGGGAGGGTCTCACCCTTCACCCCCTCCTGCCCTTCATCCTGGGTCTCTGCACAGGGAGATGGCCCCCCGGGGACATCTGGCGATGTCTAGAGACATTTCTGCTTGTCATGCCTGGGGAGGGGGAGATACTGGCATCTAATGGGTGAAGGCCAGGGATGCTGCTCAACACCCTGCAATGCACAGGACAGGCACCTCACAGCAAAGAATGATCCAGCTCCGACTGTCAATAGCTCCGAGGTGAGAAATCCTGGCCTAGCCCCCCTCCCTGGCCCCTCTACCTCCAGACACCACCTCCTCTCCCATTCATCTCCAAGGGCCCTGTCGAGGCAGCCAGAGCCACAAGTACGCATAGCTACGCAAATAGCAACTCCTTATTTGCCGTGTTTGCTCGGCCAATATTGACTTTGCAGCCTAACACTGGTGCTATTGAGCCAGGGTTATTCTCAATATTGTTTGAGCAGCATTAGAACAGCCTGTGATAACCAGCAGCAGAACAGGAAGCTGCACCCCATCCCCGGCACACCCCCTTCCCCAGCCGCACCTCCTCCGGAGGACACTCCTGTAAAGACAGAGAAACCTGTGTGCTCGTGGAGTCAAGCGGACCTAATGCCCGCTCCTTGGCTGAGCAAACACACAGAGGTTAGAGAAGGAGCACGCCCTCCGCTCTCTGGCTGAGTCAACACTCCAGGGAAGCTGGAGCAACTGAAAAAGTTTACACGGGAGGCCGACATTTGGTGAGGGGGCTGGGCAGTGAAAAATGACGGCGAAGCAGCCCCAGGCTATACACCAAACCCTTCGGTGGGGAAAGACCCCCAGAGGCTAGTGTTCTTTGGTTCCTGGTGACTATGTAGTAGGATGGTGAATCCATCCATGAACCAAGCACCCATTAGGTGAGGGCCTACTAGGTGCCAGACACTGTGCAGATCAGGACCAGAAGCTTAGAATGGGAGGGCCCTTATGGATAAGCTAAGGCAGCCGCCATGTTGGAATGATGAAGACCATTAGGAAAACAGCCTCCATCTTGGGCCTGGTCTTTGCTATAAGGGAGTAACCAGCTCCTGGGCATGAGTTCAGAACTGAGAACAACCTGGTCCTTAGGAAACACTCTCCCTGCCAGCTGGGCTCAAGTCCCTTTAACAGGAGCCAACATTGAATGTGCCATAGTGAGAGGCCTTAAACTAAGTCCAGGAGAGGAGCTATGGTCATCTCCATTTGAATATATCTAGGTATAAGGATGGTTGTCACGGTCTTCCTGAGGGCCATCTTGGAGGGGTAGAGGGATCAGGGGAGAGAAACCAGTAGCCAGGCCTGCACAAGCCACACGGGTGATAGGAGGAAGGCCTATCTCCTGCATTCCAGGGGGGAATGAAACGAAACTGTGAAACCAATATGGAGTCAGGACTCCTGAGGGATTTTAATGAGAATCGTGATCACGGCCACTGCAGATGGCTGTGTACCACCTGCCCAACCACAACCAGCAGCTCCACAGTAAGACCAGACAAGACAGAGAATGTTTACAGATGAGAACTCCACATGGAATAAATGGGGCGGCTTTTCCTTGCCCACAGTGAAGTAAATCTAGGCTTAGCTGTACGTCTGGATCTGGGCCCACGTTATATCTCTAGGTCAACATTAAACAAGTTGCCAGAATCATTGAGGGGGCATTCTGAAAATTAGCTCTGGCCAGCCCTAGTGGCCTGAGAACACCAAAATGGTCATTTGCTAAAATTGGTCATTAACATTTTCTACTAACTGCTCTCTCCAAAGACTTGGAAAATGAGGGGGGGAAACTCCTCACAAATCAGCTATGACGTAGGCCCTTATGATGACCCGAACTCTAAGCTTCAGAAACGATTCATTTTTAAAAGCATGTGGTGGGCATTTTCCACACATGGTGGAATATTTTTATTCAACAGCCAAGTCATTCCACTTTTCCCCCAAAGCAGACATGTTAGCCAATGTGCCTGCCAGGTCTGTGCCCCCTTCTCTGAGGAACACCTTCCCACCGACAGGAGTGGTCCCTGCTGCCCTGTTTATCACCTGAATGCACCCTGTTGGAACAGAGACAGACACCTGACTAAAAAGAGATACCCCATTGGCTGGCCACTGACTAATCTGATTCCTTCCTCTGGGAATTAGGATTTAGACTCTTGGTGTCGGGTCCATGATCTGAGAGATCACGTCCCACTTGAGGTGAACATTTTTGGACCTAGAGAAGGCCGGTCTGCAGAGAAAAGAATGAAACAGACCCACTGAGAGAGACTGAGGTAAAAGACCACAAGGCCGCAGAGAAGGAGAGAAACAGAGTGCAGGCAAGCAGCTGTCTGGGGCTCTGATAACTTTCCAGTAGTTCCACCTTGAGCATCTCATGGGGACTGGTTGTCATCCCTGCCCTTGGGTTCAGTGAGATTCCTCGTAGCCTTCCAACAAATTTATTATTATTATTATTATCGAGAGCTAAGTCTATAATCATTCTGATTCTTGCACCAAACAGTTATTGACCAAGACACCTAGTAAGAAATGCCCTGTTTTCTGGACTACACTTGTTCATCACTGAGCATCTCACCCCATCTTCTTCCCCACCCTTGGTCTAATTTGATTCCTACCTCTCCTGGCATTTCCATGGAGATGGCTCATGCTTCCTTTGAGTGTTTCAGGTAATAATAACCCACAGTGCACCCCAGCCATCAGCAGCTGAGTAAGCTGTGTAACCTAGACACCACGTTCCACTCAGTGGTTTGTTTGCTCAGCCTACTTCAATAGAGGCTGTTAGACTACCAGTCAATAATTAGTCATTCAACAAACATCCATCAAGCTATACCCCAACCCCAGCAAAGACACGTTGAAAACACAAACAAACTTTTAAAGACCACAGAGCAAATGTAAGCACATTTTTCCATTTTCCTGTCACAGGAGAGGAGCAATTCTGATGTGCTATCAGCCCTAATGCAGCTAGAAGTCATCAGTCACACCAACCCCCCAGTCAGAATGAGAAGTGACAACAGAGGCACAGCTCTTGCTTTGCTAACTCTGGAGGGGTATTAGCTAGTTGTTGCCCGTGAAGGGAAACAAATAGCCCTGTTAATCCCCAAGATCAGTGGAAATATAACTGGACCACCTGTAGTATCAGGGCTTCCTTCAGGGGCTCCCCACTGCCCTGAGTCCCCACTACAGGAGTAGACCTAGAGGGCATTCATCCATCCTATTTTTATTGGGTACCCTTTTATTATGTGATAAGGAACCTCAAGGAAACATCTCCCATCTCCATAAGCTTTCGTATTGTTCTACCTCTCAATTTTATTATTACTATGATAAGATTATAACAATTAACATAGTAAGATAAACATTTAAAACCACCTAACAAATGACTCAGCCTTGCTTTTAAGGCGATCAACAGTCTTTTCTCTTTTCTCTTTTTTTTTTTTTGCACATTACCTTCCATAGGTAGTATTTTTACATAGACGTGACTCTAGCAAGCATATCAGATTGTAATTTGCCGTTTAGTCGCATCTGCCACTTTTCTACGTGTAAGCAATGTTTCTCAGGCTCGTGTTCCCCACCCATGGCCTCCCACCCCATTCAAAGCTCTACCCAGGTATGCCCACGTGGGGTGCCCATTTTCCCCTCCTCTACTTCCCCAGCTCCCCTTTGGTGCCTCTGCACTTGCAGAGCTGCAGGATGGTACTGCACTCTTTCTCCCAGGGCCCAATGCCCAGCCAGGGAGGCCCCTTCCAGCAGGCACAGCCACCCTGCTGCCCACCGCCCCTCCTGCCTGGACACTCTACACATGCCCATCACCTACCCATTGCCTTCCTAGGTCCCGTCATTTCCTCAGAGCACTCTAGCCTTTGCAGGGGCCATCATTCTCTTTTCTACCTTTGAACACCCAGCACCTGACACAGAACATAATGCATAGCAGATGTTCAAAAATATTGGGTGAAAAAAATGAGTGAATAAATTAACTAACGGTTTGTGATGAACAAATGAGCCATCGGGGCCCCCGGCTTCTTCTTTCTGCACCTGCTTCCCCTCCATCCAGAGCTCTCTGCCACCCTGGCCAAAGT